TATATATATATATATATATATATATATATATATGAAAGAAGACAATGCAGTCTGTAATTTGGGTGGTTCAGGAATCTTACTTATCTAGAAGAGTACTTTATCTTTTAAAAATGGGATTCATTCATTTTTTTTAAATCGAGAAAAGTATTGTACTACCAAAAACTGCCCAAAAGCTGAAGTAATTTCTTCTCTAAAATAATACTTCATTTTTAAAGTATACTTTTCTGAGGATAAAAATCATGAAGCAACATTGAGATCTTCGCATTCTGCAGAGGGCAGAGGTGGATAAAGCTGCCTAGGAGAGGAAACATCTGCATTCATGACTTCTCAGCATCCAGTGGTGGGATCTTGGTGGGATCTAAAGGGGCATATACAGTAAGTATTCTCAAGCATAGGATTAATGAGGAAAGGCAAAGAGTTTAAATTTTTTTCAGAGCACTAATAGCCCAATCCAGAAAATCCTGTGACAGAGCAGTTAACACAGAAATACTTTTTCAGGGTTTTCTTCTCCACTGGAGCACAATTTGCCACTTGCTGTGAGCTTTAGTAAACTAATGGGCAGAGTATCAGGAGTCTGGTAGCACCTTTTCTGACTAACACATTTTATTAAAAGAGATAAACTTATATCTTTTAATTAAACTTGTTAGTCAGAAAAGGTGCCACCAGGCTCATCTGGATTTTTTGCCACCATAGACTAACACAGCTGTCCTCCTATAACAGGCAGAATGTTTCTGAACAGTGAAATACTGTAGATAAGCACCATGAATGCACTGAATACAGGTGATGGTTATGACAGAATTTCTTCCTTCAAAAACTCCTGAAGTTCATTTAGGACTGAAAATATCCACAGCAACCAGCTGAAAATATTGAAAGGTCCTTGGAAAATGCCTCTTTAATTCAGGAAGTCTTAAAAATTATGTGGCTCTTGTTTCAGACAAAGCTTCTGTAATGATTGGCAAGCGCAATGGAATTCTGAAGTTTCTACAAAAGAATCAAAGTAGGACATTTGTTGGTGTTGGCTGTACCTGCCAGTTAGCACATCTAGCAACAAAGTAGGGCTAAAGGATCTTTGAGCTGCACGATTCTCTGCTGGCTCTGTGTGATCATTTTGAAAAACATGCCCAAAGAGATACTTTATTTTATAATAACACAGTCAGAAAGGTCCTTAGCTATACTGCAAAAATGTCTCATATCCTTAAATATTTGGGACAGCCTTACTTATTTTGTCATTCATTATAGTGATAATGTTTTACTGAAATTACACGGAATAGATGACCAAATATTGCAGTTTATAAACTGTATGTTCTGTGTCTTCGTGCAATTATTCCTTGATTTGAAAATTTTAATAGGTTGCTTCAGTTCGAAATATGTGCTAGTGTAATGGAGCTATATGTGGATCTGTTAAGGTGCTTTATTAAATCATAGTTATAGGTGTGAACAGATTTGGTGTACTGCTTGTTAAAATCACCAAGGGTTTCAGACAATCACTTGCTAATTCAATTTTATTTTAAATCAAGAAGCTGGATACAGTAGATCATCTGAAAATTGGCAAGTGAATACCAGAGTACAAACATGCTTATAAAATAGTTGTGTTTGACTTATGGAAATAAAATCTGAGCTGACTTATTCAATATAGAGAATGTTCTGATGTATTATGGCAGAACAGAAAAATTATCTTTGTGTGGCATTCATTTGGTACTAATGTTTCACAAAGTTTATGTGATTCCTATCACGTGCCTTGAGGAAGTAAGGACTGATCAACTTGATATCCTCTGCCCAAACACACAAGATCCTCTATTAGGCAGATGCCATTTTCAGTATTTTCTTTTGTGTGTGTGTGAAATATGTTTTTCTTATCCCACAAAAAATGTTTTCTGCAATGGTATTTTTAGCTTGGTTAGGAAAAAAAATAGGACCAAGCGGAGAAGCCTTTTAAGGAAATTAGGAAAATGACGTGTGTCTAGAACCTATGGAGAATCTAGGATATTAAGAAGAGAGGGACTGTTCAGTTAGGTATGGAGAAGGAAGAGGGACATCTTTCTCCAGATGAGATTTGGAGAGAGTCATTAGAGCAGACTTCCTGGGTGAGAGACCAGGAGCCCTACCAGTCCTGGGTGAAAGCCGTGTCTTCTGGAGAGGCTGAGGGGAACAGGAAGAAGTGGCTGGAATTAGGGCAAGTGGAGCAAGGCTGAAGAACATTGGGACCTGTGGTGGCTGTCAAGTCACTCAATTCAGAGCAGCCCTGGGTGGCGTGGTTGGGGAATGAAGATTGTTTGGTTAGAGGAATGGAGGTGGATGATTATAAGAAGGCCAAGGTTGACATAATGTGAGGTGAGGATCCCTTCAAGGCCAAGGATTTAGGATATGGAACTTGGAGAAAAGGATGAAGAACATAGTGGTAGGCAGGGGGAAATATGGCAGGAGGTGGGATTGGTCTGTTTTAGGGGAAGGGGGATTGAAACAAGTTCCCACTTTCAGCCCCCGGAACCTCAGATCAGGAACCTAATTTCCAGGACCTTGGAGGCCTTGGTATTATACAGACTGTTTCCAGTATTTGGCCACTGAGATTTCATAGCATGGGTGCAAGCTGCATTTCCACTGAATTTTCAGCTGAAAATGAGAAGCAGGCTGCAACTTCTTTAAACGCTTTGGGGACAATTACTTGCAACCTCTACCATTGTCCAGCTGCCTGCATTTTCAGATCAGTAATTAATACAATTCTGTTGTGGCTATTTCTCAGGGCCATTCAGTTGTCCAGTACAAAAAAAGAGGATAAAATGGATCACTGGATGATCACAAGGGCCTTCCAAGTTCCTTCATGGCAAACCTTGTCCTTTGTCCTTTCCCAAGTAGGTTTCATTAGACTACTCTGGTTTAAGCTAGATCAATGTTTTGATTTTTAGCTATTTGCTTCAAAACATTTTAAATTTCATGGTTTGTGAATTTGTGATAGCTTAATGAAGATGTTGATCTAACATTTATTGCAAAGATTGTCATTAGGAAAGAGATAAAAATTAAGCTTCCAATATTGTTATGCTATTATAGAAATTTGTGTGGCCACACTTGGAATACAGCATTGTTTCCTGTTCTGATATTTGCATCTCAGAAAGGATATTGCCTGGAACAATTGCTGAAAAAAAAAATCTCTTTAACACAGTAAGTTAGAATTTGTAGGCATACTAGTTCTTCTGAGGGTATGAGCTCCACTATCAGAATAAGAACAGAACAGACTTCTTTTCAGATTTTTTCGGTATTTGGACAGTAATTTGTGGGAATGCATCCTGCCAAATTCAGGCAGATAGGTCTAAAGGAATTTTGCAAAGGAAATTCTTACAAACTTAGGAACATTGAAACCAACTGTTAATATCCTATATTATTAATAGCTTTTTTATTATGTGTCATCAAGTCATTGGCGACTCTTAGCAACCACATAGATAGATTTTCTTCATGACGATCTGTCCCTAACCTAGTCTTTCCGGTCTTCCAACGGTGCATTCATCACTGCCGTAACTGAGGCCATCCACCTTATTATAAGTAGCTAATTGCTGTGAAAACCACAAATACCGTAAAGATATTGGGAAATCAGACAAGGAAAGATACATTTACAGTTATGCTTATTGAATATCTGGTTTGTTTTTTTAAATAGTGCCTGAAACATTTTGGGGGGGGGCAGAATTCTTTATGGGATAACATTTAGTGTAGACAAACCCCCCTGAATTTACTGTACTTGGAACCCTCCCATTATTAAAAGATAGACCTGTCAGTCACTTCAAAGACTGTATTTTGATATAATACCATGCTTCTGCTTCCATACCTCTTAATCATTTCTGGTGGACATTCAGTTGGGGTTATGTGAGGGCCAATTGTTGGCTGCCTACTGATGTTGGTTGATGTTAAATCAGTGGCTGACATTTGCACTGATATGCAGTGCAGAGATACTTTTATTGTTTTATGAGTATTGTCCAAAGTCATGTATTGCGACGATAGTGTGAACTCATTCTAATGTTAAGTGTTGCTAAGTCCTTGGGTTATATTTCATTTTAGTAGCTTTTAATAATAAATATGAAGACGTGGCTTTTAAATCTAGCAACCGAATAAACAGTATGTTTTGTTTCCCCAGTGATTATATGATTATTTTAAATCTTTTATTTTTTTAGCATTGTAACAATTTGAGCCAATGGTTTAAACAGATTGTTCCCAGAACTGGCTTTTCATATTGCTCAAAAATTTTAAAAGATGACCTGAAAGGACTTTTTTCTCACCACCAAAAGGACTGTGATGGGAAGAACAACAGAGAGGCTTTCTCAGTTCAGCCTTTTCCAACCAAAGTGTGAAATAGATAGAGAAGATTAATGATGCACAAACTCCGTCAATGAAAACCAAAGCGCTGAGATCAACATTAGGGCTTATTACTAGCAAAGCTGCACAGACTTTATTGAATTTAAACAATGGCAAACACAGCCGACTCGCAGAAACCGAGGCTTCCCAAGCTAAGTCCAAAGTCTGTGGGTGGCTGTTTTCAGCAGTTCCTGCCAGACTTGGAATTTAGTTTAGTTTCATGCTCTCTGTTTTCTACATTTCAGGAAAAGTTTTTCTCCCCCTACGTCGTTGATCTTTGTTGATCATGAAAAGGGCTTGTGCTGGCTGTGCCACTGCAAAGCAGCAGGAACTACCTGGGGACCAGGGGGATTTCCTGCTGCTGTTCACTGACTCTCGCCTGCTCTGTTTCAGTGGAAGAAGCCATGCCAGGTTCTAAGGATACTTTTAAGGGCGAGGCAAGAACCGGTATGGTTTAAAACTTGCAAGAATAATGATGTAACTGAATAACTATTTCAAAGCAACTATTGCTCTAAATGAGGCTCAGTCCCAGAATTACTGCAGGTGCTGAAAAAAAGCTGAGATCATTAATGTAACGAGGTCCAGCTAAACAGTGGCTAATGCGAATGTCTTCTCTGAAGTCTTATGAAAGAAAGCCCCAGCAAAATCTATTTAAATGAATATGCACTGTACATCTGAAATACAGACTGGCCTGGAGCATAAATTAAATTTTAAGAAGAAAATCAGGAGCACAAAATGCAACTCATGAAGACCCTTATTAACATGGGCAGGGGAGTGTGGATGTGCGTGCACACATTCCTTTTGGAAGAAAAATGTCCTAAGAGATAAGACGGGTGTGTGAAGCAGTAAATATGCAGACTGTACAAGCTGAATGAAGGATCATTAACTTGATGGAATCGGGTGATGCAGAATGAAGGATGACAGGGACAAATTAGAGTGTGCCCATTCCAGTGACCTCAGACGTCAGCCTAGAAGAAATAAAGATAAATACAGATGAAGGAAAGTGGAAAGAGTGTTTGCAGTTTATGACCAAGAAATCAAAGGGCTTAGGTTTTACTCACCATGCTCCATCCTTTATAAAATGAGCTGTTGTTGTTGTTATTATTATGTCCATTCCTATTGTGTCCAAGAGCTGGTGCCCTATCAAAAGGTCTGGAAATGCCCCTAAACACAATAGGAATGGACAGAATCTCAACACATCAATTACAAATAGTCACATTACTTGGGACAGCATGTATATTACAATGGTATCTTCGGCTATCCTAGATCCATGGGAAGAATCCAATAGTCAAAAGTACCAAATCCAGTCAGAACTTTCTGACAGAGTGTGTTTAACTAATAGTATCAGGCAATAATGATTATTTATATCACACTTAAAAACTGTAACAAGGCCTGTTTTAAGGGGACGCGGTGGCGCAGTGGCTTAATGACGCTG